CCACGGTCTTAACTGAGGTATTCCGTGCCGCTCCGGGCCCCATCTTGTTTGTGCTGCGGCACCCGGGGAATTACTATGAAACAGATCCGATTCCCGGCTTGAATGTTTGCGTTGCGATACGAGAGAGATCCAAAGAGATTTTCCCCGTTGACAAGCGTATGCCCATCTTCCCACCCAAACCTGATGCCCCAGGGCTGACCTTTTGTGCAGCAAACATTTTGGAAATTCAACCTTCCTTGATCTTAAACGAACTCGAAAAGATGAACGGCCTAGTCGTTTTGACTATGCGCCGGCTGGGGAGGAGGATTGATGTCACTGTTGTTGGGGATTTCGAGTTCCGGTGGCAAGGGGTACCGGGGGGAGAGCTCAAGATCCTAACGCTGTATCACTTTCTCTCCGAAATACACCGTCCGCCGTCGCTTCCCGGGCCTTGGACTCCTCAAATGGAAGTTCTGGATTCGACCCATTTTTAGAAAAGCACCTTATGTTCGCGCGGAGTGGAACGGATGTGTACGGAGACTGTCTTCGTCACGCTCATGACGTCGTTAGTCCTCCGTTATTCCAATCCCTTGTGGAATTAGCTCTCAGTATAGTCAAGACAAACCTTGGTTCTTGAAATATTAAGATGTTAAGCACGAACGGGGAGAAAACAGGCGTAATCCTACATCGTTTCCTTGGGTACTACTCACGTTGGACAAGACTGAGTTGTACATGAACATAGAACTCCATATACGGGCAGGAAATCACAGGGCGTGAATGGGAACGGCTTCCGAAAACTCAAGGGTGTTGAAGGAGGTAAAGAGGGGGTGAACAAGTACAGGGGCTCCGGTAATAGGGGGTATGTTGAAGGTGAGGAATTATAACAGGGTAGAAAATTGGGTTGGCTTTCAAGTATTAGAAGCATAAGAACAAAAACTACCTACCTATTGACGGAAAGTGTCCTATACGACGCATCGATCCTTTTTTGCTTTGTCAAGCCCCCAAGCCAACAGAAAAGGCATATGAAGAGCCCTTATGCGGGCTCTGAAGCTAAAAGCCTGCAGTCTGCCTCCCGCTTCGCCTTGCAGGGCGGTGGCGTCGATGTAACCAGTCCCAGCTCATCGTTTCAGAGCATCTGTTTAGTGTGTGCCCCAGCCTCCGTTGGGCGCCACACAGTTGGGCACCAGATAACACGAACTCTTCCTAACAACTAACAATCGACTCCAGTTCCTATCAACTTCCATCTAAGAGCGCGGCGTCTCTGGACATCATTATGTCCTTTGGCTTTTCGGTCGGGGATTTTCTAGCAGCGATTGAACTTGTCCACGATCTTGCGGTCGCTCTGAGCGATGGCCGTGGATCAAGTGTCAAGTTCCAGGGCTTGATCCAAGAGCTCTATTCCATCGAACGAGTCATGATCGAAATTAAAAACCTCCAAGTGCCAAAAGAGTTGGAACAGAGGCTCTGGATGATTCAGCAAGCGACATCTCACTGCCAAACGATCATCAGCAATTTCCTTCGAAGAAACGACAGCTATATGCGGTGCCTTCGTGAAGGAGGTTCGAAAGCCTGGTGGAAAGATGCATATTACAAGATCAAATGGGCTGTCTACAAAGTAAAGGACGTGGATGAGCTGAGAGCCTCTCTTCGTGGACACGCGACAGCGATGGGCTTCATGTTTCAACTACTGCAGATGTAAGTTGTCTTTCCTCCCAAAGATCGTAAGGGATTAGGATTCTTTATATGGGGCATTACTAATAGACGGGAAAAGTGAATCCAGGGAAGTCACAATAACGCAAATAGAAAGTCAGGTTCAATCCCAGGCATCATCAGCCCGGTCGTCTCTCAAGCAGCTTGTCTTGAGTCTCCAGAACAACTTGATACAGGAGATCACCAAAGCAACGTCGGAGTAGGGATCTCAACACGCCTCTCCTCCCTAACCATGTATTTACTGACAAATCATACTGTAGGGTAACCACAAACCAAACGCAAGGCAACTCGGACTTGCGGTTGCTTATGGTTCAAATGCTGTAAGACGTCGGGAGAAAAGGAAAGGTTTATTCTATGACATTGACAACATACTCACAGCCAGGCGACGATGGAGATCCACCAGATGATGTCCCAAGCGCAGACCGAGATCCCAGGGCAGGTGCTTCGGCAACAACCCGTCTACCTGGAAGACGCCCGTGGCGTTTTGGCTCCCTTTCACCTCGAATTTGTCACCAGTGCCCAGGTCAGCTCTACCATTGCGTTCTCGAGTGAGGACATCGCTAATAAAGCCTAGATTCTGATTCACGCGCTGAAAGAACGGTATAGCGAGGACGGCGCCCGGAAGGTTGACCAGGGCAAATTTGCCATCACAGACGCGAAAACGTCTCGCGACATAGACCTCAGGCGTGAGTGGAAACTGTGCTTCCGACCGGGCCAGCGCGTCAACATGAGCTTGTTCTTTGAGGGCATATTCGGCAAAACGACTACTTGCCCGAGCTGTCACGCGGAATGCGCGGGGGATCAGGATAGGGAGATTGAGTGGTAAGTCTGATATCCAGTCGTCCGGGAAGCACTCCTATTGTTGACCCTGAACTGGCAAAGTGGAAACTGCGCCATGATATTCCGGAGGATCGAGATTATCCAGCCCCAAAACGATAGCCCATCAAACCGCGATGACCAGACTCGCAACGGCAGTTCGAATATATCGGAGCGATCCGAAGACACCAGGCATGATCCGGCTCAAGTGTCCCATGTCACTGATTCTCCATCAGAAGACGAAGAGCCCTTGGATGGGGCGATATCCGAGTATAAACGGGTCAGACTGCTAGATTATGGTAGAGTTCGCTGGGACCCTTCAACATGTGCTCAGGAATTACGCATCAGCAAAACAGGATTAGGGGTAACCTTTCCCGGTCCTCGAACGTCCGCCGACCATACCACGCTTGCGTTCGTTAAGACAACGCCCTGGCCAGAAGAGAACAGAGTATACTCTCCGAGGCACTTTAACTTGAACGGCGAACAATTTTGTGAGTTTATGGCTTCGCGTGAGAATCTGGGCTACCTAAGGTAGTCAAGTAGGTAGGCTTACTAATAATATTCCAGTTGAGTTTGAAATCAGCCAAAACCACCCGTCTTCTCTATTCCCTATGGTCGGATTGAGGGACGGGGCAGGCGTGGTGGCAAGCTTCGGTGCTAGACCCTTTTCGATGATAACAGAGGTGAGGCCCCCGAGGTCGGTTATTCTCTTCCTCGGTATGCTGACCTTAGTAAGGTCAAACTTTGGGTTTGCTGCAATTGCAAGTGGACATCTTCCTGGCGGTCCACTAACATATGTATTAATTGCCATCACGGGTTTGGTCACGGACATTGCACGATAGAGAAACATGGCGTACCGGCATATAGGTAGGCACAGCGTGTTTGGTTTTGCATAAGGTTAGGTGCCTGTCAAGGAAAAGCAAACGAACGTGGTGAACTAGCGTCGTGGTAAGCGGCAATGCTAGCGTAGGAAGTCCCAGAATACAACTTCCAACAGGTCAACCATTCGCTTTTCAACTCCCGATATAATGATAACGCAAAGTGTACCCAGCCCCTTATTGCGCCTTGACCCGCGTCTCGCACAGCTGCAGATCGCCAAAAGCCCCCTTCATCTCAGGCACCTCCATCACCCGCTTCACATACGCCTCCACACCCGGCAGGTTCTTCCGCATCTCCTTATCAATGAAGAACCTCCCCGCCACCTGCAACACACCCACCACCATGATATCCGCCAACGTCAGCTGGCCACCCACCAGAAACTGCCTCCCATCCTTCAGCTCCGCCTCCACCCGGCCCAGGGCACGCTCCAGCGCAGCCAGGTGCTGGTTGCAGCGCTTCTCGTCGTAGGGGTACTGCTCGAGCTTGGCAACAAGCATGAGCACGGGCGGGAGGGCGTTGGCGGCGAGCTCCTGCTCGGCGAAGCACGACCACTGCTCGATCAGCGCGCGCGTCTTGACGTCCTCGCCCACCAGCTGGCCCGCCTTGGGCCCGCTCTCGGCCACGAACCGCGCGATGGCATGCCCCTCCGTTAGGTGGAGGCTGCCGTCGCTCGTCTCGAAGGCGGGCACCTTGCCGAGCGGGAACTTGGTTAGGAATTCAGGGGTGCGGTTGGTCACGCCCATTTGGAAGTCCGGGACGATTTCGACGGTCAGGCCGTTGATGGCGGCGATGGCTTGGGCCTGGGGAGGAGGGTGAGCAAGTGGCGAGTTGGTTGGAGGGGTGGAAGGAAGGGGTGGAGATGGAACTTACCCGCTGGACACGGTAGTTGTCCGCGTAAGTGTAGAACCTGCCGAAGGGAGCCATGGTGACGGATAAATGTGGATTTAGTTGGTTGAGTGGTTTGAAGAGAGTTGCGGGCTGGATTGCGTGCTCTTAAGAGGAAATGACAACAGCAGAATGTATTGAGGCGACTTGAATACACCAAGTAGAAGGGCATAGAACCGGGTGGCAACCCCCCTTTTAAGTCACGGTTGCCCCTCGGAACTTGTCCCCCAACGCTACTACCACTTGGCAACCTCACCATCCTCTCATCAGCGAGCTCCATCCCACCCACGTAAAATCTGATCGAACCCAGACTCCACCCGGTGCCACGGTACAGTCGTCACTCGTGCGTAGCTCGGCACTCACGGCCAGTACCGTGCACCGTGATTCATGACCAATCCATGTTTCACCAAGCTGCCCTTAACCGCGAAACACTTTGTGTGCGGGTATATCTCCGCTCCGCAACTAGCTCTCCACTAGTGGCGGGAAGGTCTCACGGCTCCAGTGGGGAGAAATAAATTGCCGTCGGTGTGGACCGTGAGCGACACGATGCTTGGTAACGACGGGACAAACAGTGAGCCGCCTGACAAATCAAGAACCCGCAACACACACCCCTTGACCATGGCGGTGAGGGAAAAAGCAGAGCCGCACAACGCGCCAAAAGTGGCCCCGAAAAAAAAGGCAAAAAAGGCAAAAGGAGAACCGGACACATTCTGGTGTTCCTGATCTTGCATTGGACGAGCTGGGAATCGAACCCAGGACCTTTCGCATACAGTGAAGCATGCTAAGCGAACGCTCTACCAACTGAGCCACACGCCCTTGATGATGTTGTTGAGATTCGAGGTCCGGGGGGACGCGTCTTGACGCGCCGCCGCTGTGCTCGGCAAGGGGGTCCCAACTGGCAGGAGACCACCAGTGTTAGCAATATACACACACACAACAACGTCCACCCACCACCAGAACCGTATTTACACATCCCTCCCAAATATGCCAATTACCCATCCCCATTACCCCCCAAAGGCCCCAAACTACCACCGCCCCTCCTCCCTCTCCCTATCCCCACAAACCGGACACCCGCCCGCAACCCGATCCCTCAACAACCTCGCATGCGTGACCTTCGCCGCAATCAGATGCGCCGCCGACGCCCTCTGCTCGGCGCCACCGCCACCACCACCACCCAACCCCCCATCCACCCCCTTCCCCTTCCCCTTGCCCTCCCCCCCCTTCTGATCCAACGCCTCAAGCAAATGCGTCAGGTGAAAGACATGCCCACACGCAAACCCCACCAGCGTCTCCACCTCCCACTCGCCAAACGCCTTCCCGCACCCGGCGCAGTGGCCCGGCGTGCATTTGCGAGCTTTTCTTGCTGTTGTGTGGTCCGGCGCGCCGTGGGCGGGGGTCCCGTCGTTGGGGTGGTGATGAACGTGGCCGTTTTGGGCGTCGGCGGGTGCCTCGGCGGTATGTGCTGGTGGTGGTGGGGGTTGTTGTGGCGCGTCTTTCTCCTTCGACGCCGGGTAGTGCGTGATCTCGAAGCGCACGCCTCTCCGCTGGCCCATGCGCAAGCGTCCCTGCGCGGCGGCCACCTCGCTCCGCAGCACGCGGGCCACGCCCTCGCAGATGCTGAACTGGATCTCGTGCTCCTTCATGATGTGCTTGAGCCCCTCGCGGAGGCCCTCGATCTCGAGCCCCTCGGGGATGCGGCGCACGAGCGTGATGGGGTTGATGGCGGTGCCGACCTCTTCCAGGAGGGCGCGGATGAAGCGCGGCTTGTCCATGCTGTAGGTTAAGAGGTCCTCCCAGAGGTCCGGGTCGTCCTGCTCCTTGGCGAAGGCGATGGCCCGGCTGACGTCGGCGAGCCGGTCGATGATGAGGTAGAGCGCGCGTTTGGTCTCGCCGGTTTTGGAGTACAGGTAGACCAGCTCGGGGATGTAGTTGTGCGTCTCACATTCTTGGGCGGCCTGGGAGGACAAGTCAGAGGGGGAAGTTACAGATTGGGGAGGGGGGAGGATGTACCTTCTCAAATGCGTATGCGGTCGAGGTCTTCAGAAAGTCCATTAGTAGGGATTGGTCGTGCGCGGCGAAAAGGTGCACGGCAAGGTCGGCGAATTGGTCAACTAGAGACTTGCTGTCGGTTACGAGACGCGCGCGGGACTCGTCCGAGTGCTCGTGGATGCCCTCTCCCCGCCACAAACCGCGGAGGTAGAAGAAGGTGTACAGGTCCAACTTCTTCGCCAGCAGTTGGTTGATGACGACCTCGGGCTTCACTAATCCGTGTTGTGCCTCGTCGACCAGTAAAGTGACCGCCTCAGCTGTGGCATCCTCAAGCTCAGCCTGGCTCATTTTGCCAGCTTGACCTTGGGGCACACGCAAGCCAATGAAGCTCGGTATGTCATCAGCCACCGCGTCAGCAAGGTGGCCCTCCTTGATCAACCGCATGGCTGAGTCTGCGTCTTGGAGTTTGATGTGGCACCTGAGAGCCTCCCGGTTTCTGCCGTTTGCCTCGTGCAGCTTGGCAAGACTCTCCATGACGATTCGCCAGTCACGGCCAACTTCACCATCTTCAACGCTGTCCTCCCGCACATCCCGGTACTTGAGCTGATCCTCCAGCGCGGTCGTGATGGTACCCACATCGTACAAGTCTGGAGCCCATCGATCCAACAACCCGCGGAACTTGGGTTTGTTTGCTTGGAGGTAGTGCCCTAGCATGACCTCGTACAAGGTTCCCGGCATGGGCGGTCGCGTCCGCTCCGGGGGTATGTAGTTCACAATATCATCAAACTTGTTCGCGCCAGCAAACGTCCACACCCACTTCTCCCATCGATCAGGCGTGCCGAGGACCTTGCCACATATTTGCCCTGCCCTTGACCAGTCCCCAGTCTCAATGACGTCTTGTATCCATAGCTCCCCGATCCGCCGCTTCTCCTTTTCGGCCGACGAGTAGAAGGACCGCATGCCTTCAGCAACCGATGCCGTGTCGTCATAAAAGTCATCTGTGCTTTGCGTGTTCTGGGGGGTGGTTGGGCTAAGCTCGGAAACCCCGGACATGACCTCAGGATGCCGGTCCACCAGCTCCCATGCCTGTTGGTACTGGTTGTGGTCCAAAAGCCACGCCAGGTGATCGCTCAAATCTCGCCGCGTCGCAAGAATGCAGTCATACGGACTGTGGATGAAGATCTTGACGCCTGGCTTGATGAGATGTGGGTGCACAGAGGTGCGGCCGGCCCGGGTCCCCGAGGCAGGCACATTGGCTCCGGAGGCTCCGTCGCTATTCTTGCTCATGACACTGGCCGCGGAGCTAAAGAGCGCCATGGGGTTCAGCGCAGCGTTCAGCACGTCCGTCCCAAGTCCTGCGAGCGTCTCCAAAGCACCCCGGGACGACACGGCCGCCGCCGCATTTTGCGCGGGAAGGATGCCGAGGTGGTAGTCGTTGGATGATAGCCTCTCAAAACGGCTGATGGTGAGCCCATCCTTGTCCACTTCCGCCTGGGACGAGAGATCGATGAGGCGTAACTCTGGGGGTTGGTTGTTTTGCCTCCGCGGGATGCCGCCCGAAGGCCTACTTTCGGTAGAAGTTTCCGATAGCGAGCGACCATGGCCCTGTGAGTGCTGGCCGCCTTCCTCTTCCTCCTCTTGGTCTGGTAAACAGTAAGCAAGAACTAACAACAGGTTCTGGGTATATAACGAAATTCCAGAAATAATGCAATCCATGCGAAGTCTAGAAAGTCAGCAGACACCCGGATGCCGAGGTACCGGGACGAACTTACATCTTTACAATCTCCGCCCGCCCAGCGGACCTCTCTCCGGCATTCTTCCCTGTACCGATGGCGCCAGGATGGACATGAATGATCCAAATGGTGCCACCCCACCCCACAAGCAACCGCTCAATCTTCTTGGTGTTCTTGAGTTGCTGTTGCTTTAGGCTCTCGGCTGCGGGTGACAAGGCAACCTCGTTGTGGTCCGAACTAATCTCGTCAGGCTCAACCGCCTGCTCGTCAACCCACTCAACCCTGCCCTTCCACACGCTGGCCATCGTCTCCCACTCTTCCGTCTGGGGCCTATCAATGTGTCCGATACGTTTCCAGGCATCCTCGGCGTCGGCATGGTCCAGGTGGAGCTTCGTGCGCATAATCTTGATACCATGCTCATTCAACCAAACCACGTATCGCCCAGACAAAGACCATTTGATTATGTTGATGGTGCCTTCACCCGAATGTAGCACTGTGTCCTTGCCGCTGCCGGCCCCGACCATGCCGCCGAGCCAACCAGCGGCCTGCGCGGTCGCGCCCGCTGTCATAGCCGTTGATCTTCCCGTCGGCGCGCCGACAGTCAGAATGAGCTGACCGGAAAGCCCACCAGACAAGTACGTCCTATCGCTCTTGTACTCGGGCGAAAGCGCGACTGCCTGCACAGGGCGGGCAAAGTTCCGCAGCTGCACATCCTTGGGATCCACCAAGGACTGCACGCAAATGTTGCCATCCAGAGAGGATGTTGCAATGTAAATGTTGTTGGATGGAGTATTTAGCACCGTTGGAGACTCCTTCATCCTCCGAGCGGCGGCGGCTGGGGAGGCATGGCTCTCGTTCGTTGCGGTCGCTGGTCGTAGAGGACTGTTTGGGACAGACCTAAGAACGCTGTCTATCTTGATACTCGGGAGCGGAGGAGGGAATGGGGAAATCGAAACGGCGGTAACCGAGGCGGAGTGGGCGTGGTAGACGCGCAAAGACTGGAACGCCGGCAATTGAACTACGTGCTGCGACAGGGAGAGAAGTCAGCAAGACATGCGACACAAGAATGGGCTCGCAAGACTGACGATGTTTCCGTTGTGAGTCCCGACGATCTATGCACAGAGTCAACGGCTACAACGGTCGGCACTAATCGGGGGCTGGGGAATCCAAACCATCTTGTCTCCGGCCACAAGAAATGCGCTTGTAGCATCGCCGTTCCGATAAACCGGTCCGAGGTGTTGCGTGAGGCGCGCATACTTGAGCTTCGGCTCATCATCGTCTTCCTCGTCCTCGTCGTCCTCGTCATTGTCGTCGCCATCGTTGTCGCCCTCCTCCTCGTCGCTTTCATCTTCATCCCCACTCGACTGTGCTCCAGACGCCCCGGTGCCATCTTCGGTCCCTGTGCTGGCGCCAGATGAAGCTCGGACACGGGCGGAACCCTCTACTCCTACGGCGCCGGTGCCATGATCGGGTACGGATTCGTGACTCGACTTTGGTTCTATCGTCTTATCGTGTGTATCATTGTCGCCGGGCTGTGGCGAGCTTTCGGTCATGTTGATTCGGGCAATGGAAGTATCTTCATGGCGTTTTAGCGTCGCGGTCGAGCGAAGACGGTGTGTGAATGCAGGGGTCGAAGAGTGAGTTGACCGTTGTGTTGTTGCGACCTCGGGAGCTTCCACCTCATTCCAGGGTTGGGCGTGAGGCTAAGCGCTACGTCAGAGCTCAGACGACCCCAAAGCTGCCTAGCACCCAACTGCTGCCCCAACTGCTGCAGGGGCCCGATGAGCTCTGGCCAATTGGAGCTTGCCCCTCATTCAGTGGGGTATCAGCCTTGCCAGACCGTCGCGCCCCAAACGCGCCTGCCACCGTCAAGGTGCACACCGAAAGGGGACTCGAAGCTCGAATGAAAGAATTGCTGCAGGTAATCGGACGGGATTTATTGACATTTTTGGCAACTACCTTAGCTAAACAAACACCGCGGCCCCCCGAGGACTCGACCGGCATGGAATCGCCCAATTGTCTCGCAACACCAAATTCCCGGCCTTTGGTGTAGCTTGAAGAAGCAATAATTAATTGCAGCCGCATTCGTCAACT